ACTCTCCCCCCCCAAAAAAAAACCCCTCCACCCAAGCCCTCACATGGCATCTTTCCAACACCTGCCCAGTTTGAGTTACTTCCATGGCTTTCAGTGAACTATGATTTCATCATAGCAATAGTAACCATAAGACAGCTCTCCAACTCCTAATTTCTGAAGGGTGGATACCATCTTCTCAGTAGAATGTTCACGAAACAATATTTGGCAGGAATATTGCTGTGCCCTCCAAACCTTCCAGGTCAGCTGGGGAGACATGTAGCAGATGCTGTGTTGGTAGTCTACTCACAAAGGGCTCCTAACCTCGGCTGCAGTTGGGGTGATGGGCATGAAGAGCAGGGTAACCGGAAAAGCCCAGTAGGAGCAGAGGCTCTGGTATGTTCTGTAGCTGCTGGGACAGCCTGTCACTGTCACCTACTTTCTTAGCAGATACCTTCTTTACACTGGAAAGTGGCCTGTCCCCAGGTCAGAACTGTGTTGTAATAGGAACTTAGTGGTATAGAGAAGTGTGAATGGGGGGGGGGCTGCTGGTCCCTTCAAAGAAAGCCCACTGGACACCTGCTGAGGGGGTGGGAAGAGGGACCAGGAGTTTTTACTCTTTGAGTCACCCAAGAAAATGTCCATTAAAACTTGTATCTGAATCTTCACCATGGTTATCCATGAGAGCAAACAGTAGAGATGCTGTTACATTGCTGGTAAATGGATAAGTCAGACAAGGTGTATCACTTACATGACAGCCCTCTATGGAAGTTAGGAATGCAATGATACATGCTGCAACATGGATATCCAACCACAAATATCTGTACATACAAACACACACACACACACACACACACACACACACACACACTCATTTTGGTATTTGAGATTCCGTCTATAGCCCTGGTTGTCTGGTTAGTCAGTCTGTAGTCCAGGCTAGCCTCAAACTTGTCTCAGCCCAGCTTCAGCTTCCTGGGTGTTAAGATTACAGGTGTAAGCCACCATGCTCGCTTACTATGGTACTCGTATTATGGGGTCTGTAAACAGGCACCAGGGGACACCAGGACTGAAGATTGGTCCGGGAGGGCTGCTAGCTGCCCCCAGTGCTAACCTGTAACAGGTGCAGACAGTGCGGGCTGTTTGCTGGGCAGGGTGGAGGCAGGGCTGCCCTGGAATATTTCACTCTCCCATTTGAGCAGGGTTAGTAAAGGAGGTGGGGTGGGGAGGTTCTTTTCTGGTTTGGGGCAAAGATGCTTCTCCCTGAGAAAATGGGTGTACTGCTCAAAGGCTCCTCCAGGACTAAGGGACATTGACAGTTTCAAACACAGGTTTTTAGGCCTGGGACCTAGAGGCTTGAACCCAACAGCACATACTCTGAGACTTCTATGAAAACTACATTCAAGCAAAAAAGCAAGGCTCCTTTAGTGGCTGCCCCACCAGATGTGCTT